GCCGTTAGTTCTCTGTGTGCTTATTTTTTTTTTAATTTTTGACGAGTTTTTGCATACTTTCACCGAGGAGGTAGCTCCTTGCTTCTACTGTGACATATTTGCGGCGGCAGAGGTGTTCTGTATATTCGAAAGAGACGTCCTTTCCTGGAATTTGGATTTAAATCCTTTCTATCTCCAAAATACTGCTCATCGATACGAACAGTGGCGTATATTTACCAATCCAAGCTATACCGCCATGCTCTGCGTTTCTGGAAACGTGAAGAAGATAAATAAATCAAATCTTTGTTTAAAATCAACTTTGCAGCGTACTGAATTCCTTCAAACACGACTGAATTCCGTTGGCATTTTACAAATACGTAGATTAAAACCACTGCAATGTATTAACATTTACATAATTAAAATTATTATACAATCCACGGCTAACAATACAATTGCACATTATTGCACAGTAACTTGAGTAAGTCACTATGTCCGCGTGGCACGGTGCGCCGTAGAATTCATGTCAGCGTTACGTTTTTTCAGGTACCGCTACGAGACCAGGTCTGTCACAAGAGACTATCGGTTGGATCTTTATTCCAACCTGTTGCCTGTGCGTTATTGTTGCCGTTACTAACACAACCAAGTCTGGCACGATCTTACATCTAATGTTACTACTAGCATAAAACCAGTGAGATGTCATCCGTTTGTGTTGTATCATGCTTTTGCTGTTGGATGTTGTTGAACGGCTTCCTTTCGTGTTTGGAACACTCGTTAGTAGTTCGGAACAATAATATTGGCTCACTTAGCTGACTTGTTCCTTCATATACACGATGTAACAACTAACGTCATTTTTGGTGACATAATGACTCGCATGTACATGTACATGTATGATGGAAACATCTATATTTCCTATTATACAGCTAGCCTTGGTTCAATCCGGATTTTGCTCCGCTTTTTCTAGCGTAGCGGATCTAAATCCGGATGGTACCCAGGCTATTATAAGGCGGGATAAAAGATGACCCCGGTAATTGTAGGGGGATATCAGTTACAAGTTGTGGCAAATTATATATGTCAATACTAAACACACGTCTAACAACTTTGGACGAGCACAAACTTGTCTCCCCTAATCATACCGGATTTAGAAATCGATTTGGCACAAACGACGACTTACTAGTATTTATTATGGATTCCCTGCTAAGCATATACCTCTCCAAAAACAAACGCCATTACTCATGTTTTGTCGATTTCAAAAAGGCATTTGACTCTGTTCGTTGAAAAAGTGTAAAAATAATATTTCCCGGGTCCAAAATTTACATTGTGAAAAGACTAGATAAAGATGATAAGCTTAAGATTTGTCCACGCGCGAATGTCTGTAGCGCGTTCTGTTTTTGGGTGCCAGATTATAAACAAAGCCTAGAAGTGCAAAGGACGTGCAATTTTGCAATTTCTACTGCAAGACTTTTATTCATTCGTAGAACTCATAAGTGATCATATCCGGTTTTGTTTGTTTCTCATCCTTTTAGCGATGTATCTGTTTCCAAACTAACTTGAAATGACATTACCTTGTACAGCAGTATTTTTTTACCATATATAACGTAAACTACGCAAGCACTGTTTGGGACACTGCACCAGAGCAGGATCTACAAAAACTGCAACAGTTGCAGCTTTTAAAAACCGACTGCGTCGAGTCACTTAGAATGACTTTAATTTGTGAAATGAAACTTGGATGTCGATACTGATAGTAATAAGATATGAATCGAAATAATGTTTGAATTCGGCCTTTGAATTTTGTATGAACTTGTATTGTATGCATTTATATTGTATTTCTGACTGATTATTCTAACTGAACCGAAGCATTAGACCCCTGACCCACCTCCCCTTGAACTCTTGAAAAGCGGCTCAGGCCGAAGAGGTGTACTGTTACATACTGTACTTTTTCAAGGTTAAATAAGGGTTAAAAAAGCAACTCCGTTGAAAAAGTGTAAAGCTATATTTTCAGGGTCAAAATTTACATTTTAAATACAACAGTGTCTACCCCATAAATTTTGAAGAGGCAACTAACAATATGCCCAAAATTCTATGGTAAGACGGCTGGAAATCTTTGTTCATCGATATGAGATTTTCGACATACTTCTCTTAGCGGAATTGTAGCACTCCGGCCTTACCTTAGGGTGTCCGACGGCTCAAGAAATCGTATAGAAACTGTAAATCCGGTCCAACAGCCTTGAGTATGGTTCGCAATGCATGGCGGTATAGCATCAGTTGTTTCGGCAGAACAATAGAAGTTCAACGGCGGCCATGTCTGTTCCCGTATAACAACAACATATAACATCACTATCTACGACTGCAACCATTTTAAAACATAAATACAAATATGTGATTATGCAGGTTCTATTAAGCATGTGTTGAAGCCACGAAGAAATCGCTATAATCTCCAACTTGACACTGCATCCGGTGTTGTGAAATTGGCGGGGAAACCTGGCGTCCCCACCGTCGCAAATGTTTCGGCTCGTAAGTCTGTAAAATTCATCAAAATTGAAAAAAAATAACTACCGAACACGGATATATAGTATCATGTGTAATCACTTCGCGTAACATACTCAGTAATTTTATCTTAGATTGAACCTAACTTGTCTGAAAGTTGTGATGGACTGTTAGTTGGTAACTGTTACTTTTAAAATCGGATGTTAGTAAACTGATGAGGAACATGAACGTTGTAGCAAAAAGGAAATCAACGACACAGATAAGTCAAAAGTGAAACAAAACTGAAAAAAGCAAACGTTATAACTAGAAACCAACGTAAATGAAAAACAGATTTTAAAAAATTATTCGGCGAACGCTGTTACCCAACACGGTCTTAACCTTGATCCTGACGATTTGAATCTGAAAATAAAAACAAGGATGACAAGCTTTTGCCTTACACTACCTAAATCTGAAATACATGTAGAAATTAAAGCTGTCTGATTTCGTTATATAAATCACCAAAGTCGTATAGACTACTACTGTAACACTCGGGTCTCGCGCCAAGCTGATATACTATAACGCATGACGGGATAGCGTCATTTTGCTTATGGTCGCCATCTTTACAGCGTCCCGGCCGGACAAGTATGAAAATAACTGTTGATACATCATTGCATTGTAAACAGGTTGGCCTGGGCACGTTGTGATTTGTGTTTACTGTTCAGGAGCCGGATATCAGCAAGACTAAACTTACGGTCTTTTATCGGTACCAAAAAAAAAAATTGTTATTCCAACGAGGCTATAACGTCCTGGCAAAAGGAAATCAGCGCTACAGAACAAAGTACGCAACAAAGTACGCGTACCAAGACTAGCAAAACTCGAAACGCAAACGGTATGATTAAGAAAACCCTAGCCTCAGCTTGCTTGAAATGTATATATTTCAAGGAAAATATGAGCAAATGGCAACGTACCCACAACACATTCGCAGGCATTGAATCTGAAATACCGAACATGGTTTTTATTTTTGCTACAACCGTAACACTCTAGCGTCATTATAATGCATGACGGGATAGCGTCGTTTTGTTTATGTCCGCCATATTTTTCTACCCCGGTTCTAGTACTAGCGTCCTGAGTACTAGCATGTATGAGAATAGGGGAATAGCCGTAAAGTCTAAGCCGCTCGCTAAGTCATTTATATAGCGTGAGGTTGACACACATCATTATGTTTTAATTTGAGGACGAACATTTTGTGTTCGTTGTCGAGGATCCGGTTGTCGTTATCAACCGGCCGTTATCAACTACGCTATCAATAGCACTGTCCATGCACAGCACAGCACTTACTCGTAATTGTCTTCTTCGGACATTTTTTTTTGTACCGTAGTATAACAGGCTTTTTATGTGTGTGTGTGTGTGTTCTACCGAGTTTCAAGACTATTATTACAGCACAAAGATGTCCATAGAAGACGCACTCGTGATTACGTCGATCACTCGACGTTTTTAGAATTTTGCTTCAAACCAGGCTAGGGGCGTTGTTTTGATTCCAGGCGGTTCAATCGAAAATTGGTTGCACCTGTAGTACAACTAAATGGTCCAATTCCCGTTTGTGTAAGTTCCTGTACGTCGGCCGTGAAGTTCCCGTACGGCGTCCGCGGACGGACATTATTTGTCACTGCTGGTGAATTTCCCGTACGCGAAATGTCGACTAAAATGGTCCAATTCCCGTTCGTGTAATATGGTGACATTCCCGTCCGTATATCGGCCCCAAAACACACGCGCGCACGGTCAGCCCTGAGTGGTGAAGTTCCCGTACGGGACTTAGTCTTTCTAGGTGGAGAGATTCCCGTAAGTGGGAAATTCTCCACCTCCGTGGTAGCCCTGAGTGGTGAAGTTCCCGTACGGGACTCGGTACTGCTAGGTGGAGAGATTCCCGTAAGCGGGAATTTCTCCCCCTCCGTGGCACAGTTCCCGCACGGGAAACTCTCCTATTCCCGTGACCTAGCTTAGCTCATGTTAGGGCAGTTAGGCCCAATTTCATATATCCAATGTGTAGTGTGTAATCCTTGATTTCATAATTGGACTGTGATGACTTAAAACAAAACATGTGATGGAACGTTTAAAAAATTGTTCTTTGTCTATGAAATTCATTCAGCAATCTATCAAATGCTTGAATGATGGGTCTTTGTCGACTTGATTAATAACAGTGATTGACATGAATCAAAAGCTAACCCCATCTATCAACTTACCCTGATTGAAAGATCTGTTACAGGATAACTAAGATCAAGGTCAGCATGGTACATGGTTTGTTGGCAAGAACTGAAACCGAGAACAGAATGAGAGAAAAATTATTAACAGTTAGTTTTAGAAAATTTTTTGAAAATCAATTACTTGATGTCAATTACAAATGTAACATTACTCCAATTAAGTAACATAACATCTATCAAGAATTCTTAGGAATGACAAAACAATAAAAAAAATAAAGAACTTTGTCCAGCTTACCTCCCATTCCCAGGCTTACAGACCACTTCTCCTCTGCCCGTTGCTAGGTAACCGTCCTTGGTGAATATCTCTATATGATGAGCACTACTGACGACTGCCAAACCTACAATCCCTGCATTGGTGTGTTCCCTACATGCTTTACAGCAGAGAAAGATTAAAACTCATAATTATTTACAACAAATTACACAACAAAAGTATGACATTTTCATGATTTTGGTAACGAAAAAAGCTTGTTATTCTTCATAGAAAATCGGTACATTTATTTATGGATTCACAGACAACGAACTTTGCATGTGATTACACTAGACTTAATTATGAAGATGATGACCTATTTACCGATGTGTACTTCACAGGAAGTGGGTGTGTCCGGGTCAGGTGGGTGTAAAACCAGTGGCTGGGGCGGATCTGTATGACTGGTGTTATCAGGGTCTTCATCTTTGCTGCAATCCTCACTGCTGAAAATTTAGATGAAAAACATTGACTTTCGTCATGTGTTGCTATGTAGAATTATAGAGATAAAGTTGATATCAGAATTCAGACATACCGAACACTGTGTCTAAAAGACTGCTGGTATAAAATAGGTTAAAACATCAAGAGGTATGATCCTGTCAATAACAGAAAATTTTGCACTATTGACAAGATCATCCATAAATTGTGAATGTGAATTTTTCCACTAATAACGGGGTTACCCTGACAATAGCCTCGTGCGTGTGTATTTATGACTTCCATAGAAATTATATCATTTTGCACGTCACCTTTGTGATCCGTTGCCCCCTTTCCACACGTAGCTCAAAACGCTGTTCAAGTCTACGGAGCTTCCAGCGACGTCCCACGTAGCTGTGCACGCGCAGTGAGCCATCGGTGCAAAAGGGTAACCAGGATGCAAAAGAAAACCAAAGAAAACTCAAAAATCTCCTTTCGCCTTCCTCGAAAATCCTGAAACTTCATTTTTCCATCATATCTGCTTGCTCCGCAGTGTAACCCGGAAGTGATATTTTGCCGCAAACTTAGGCTGTCGCAAAACACGCATTTTGCCGTATCAAAAATTCTTAACAGCTAGCAATTCTACCAACATTTAACAACGTCACTACATTTAAAAGATTATTTCCTAGATGTTGAATTAGTAACATTTTCCATTTATGGTTGTTTCTGTATCTTTTTATTATTTTACTCGATTTTACGACGTTGCCCAAAATAGGCAATAGTGCCGTGTGCACAGGTGTTCTTGCCCTGACCTTTTCTCCTTTGCCGGTTTAGTTCGTCCTGACTAGTTCTACTCTCTGCACCGTCCTGGAGCCATGGCGAAGGTCTGCCTGATCGTCATCGATGGGTGGGGTATCCTGGACAAGACTGAAGGTGTGTGGCAGTGTTTATCGATTCTGATCTACTGCTACTAGTATTTTTGTGTTCTCCATGTGGCGAAAAACTGCTTTTCGGTAACTGCAATTTTGCACGAGTGCTGCACTGTGGCGCTGTGAGGAGGGCGTGTTTCAAATGCTCATGCTTTGTGGCCAAGTAAAAATTCCTTTTTAAAGGCCCATACAGGAAAACCTATAATCTCTTGTATACTACGCGAAACTCTTGAATAATTTAGTACTTTCTCTTTATAGCAGCAGTACTAAATGTAAAGCCTTTCCATCCAATCCACCTAATTTAATTATTTATTAATATCACCAAGGAGGTTACATAACTTGGTGTTAAGTACTAGTTTAACATGAAGTGAAAGTAATTATGCTCAGCCAACATTTTTTTTCTTATCAAGCGGCAGTTAAGCACAGTTCTTCCTTTGATTGATATTCAAGTCTAGCACAGTAAACTCCCAGGTTCAACGACCTTTGTGCTATAATTATCTCTGCCATGCTGAATAGCACGTAGTCAGGAGGTCACCCTGTACTAATACTATGTAGGTTGGCAGGGGAAAGACCCTGCCAAAGTTAGGTGTGGCATACGGGTTCTGTGCCATGCCGAACTTCGGCAGAATCTCAGTATTCATGGTGAGATTTTTAATCCACACCAAGGGAGTAAATTATAATTATAAAATAATATTAATACTATTTTGGCTTGTCTGTCAGTGTCATTTCACAGTAACTGTGTGTAACTCTGTCCATCTGTCTGTCTGTTTAATACTGTAAATGCCTGTAATAAAATATTTTTATCCACCACTCTATAAATCCCCACCAGGAAATGCCATCCATAATGCTGTCACCCCCGTCATGGATGGGTTTGCTGCGACCCAGGACAAGGGGAAGTACCTGACTTTAGCTGCCCATGGTCTGAGTGTTGGGCTGCCTGATGGACTGATGGGGAACAGTGAGGTCGGCCATCTGAACATTGGAGCAGGCAGGGTGGTGTACCAGGTCAGACACCCCTTTTTCTTGTTTATAACAAAGTTATGACCAGGGGTGTACATTCTGAACTGCCATACCTGTACTGTATAATTTCCTTTGGGAAATATCAAATGTTAGATGTACCATGTAATTCTAATGTTGCCCAGAAGTGTTCGAGGCAGTTGACAGGCATTCACATTTCAGGCCACAAACTGTTTGCAGGGAGGACAATATATGACAACATGTACATGCCAAAGTGCTTGAACATTTAAACAAAGTTTTACATAGTACCATTAATGGTGTTGTTTTGTGCTTGGCTTTCAGGACATTGTTCGAATCAACCTGGCAATGGAGTCCAAGGCAGTGAATCAGAATGAGACACTGGTGAAAGCCTTTGAGAGAGCAAAGGCAGGGAATGGCAGGCTGCACTTTCTTGGATTGGTGAGTTTTATTCATAACTGTCTATTTGACATTAATTTGGTGATGCATGTTTGTGTCCTTGGTTCTGAACACCATCCATGCACAGATAGGCCTGTCCTTGGTGCTGATTTTCTGTTAGAAACAAGCAAACCTGTCATCTAATGGAACTCCATGATGTTTGATTGAAGTAGATAATTTGTTAGAAAACCTAACATGTCCAAAACAGGTGCTCCCTCATAGTACAGTGTTCCTTTGTAGGGCTATGACTGTAATTGATCAGGTATTCCCTCCCCCCCCCCCCCAGGTGAGTGATGGAGGAGTCCACTCCCACATTAAACACCTGTTTGGTCTGCTGGAGGCTGCCAAGGAACACAACGTCCCCAACTCTTACATCCAGTTCTTCAGCGATGGCAGAGATACCAGCCCTACAAGTGGAGGTGACCTGGCATGGAAACAGTCTTAGGCCCCCTTTCCACTAGACGGCTATCATTAAGGGACCAAAATCAGATTTGCATGACCCTTGATTTTCTAATTGGAATATGATGCATGATGAGAAAGTATGATTTAAAAGATGTGAACAAAATGTGAACAAAAAGTTGCTCTTTGTCCATGAAGTTCATTGAGCAATCAGTCAAATGTTGTGGTTGCAGCCTCTATAGGAAAAAAGGTGTTAGTAATCAGACCACTAAGTACAAATCTCTAGGATTCCTCCATCTAAATCTGTGGAGGAGGTGTTGATATTGTGTGTGAGGTACTGATAGTGCAGTAAAACATGGCAAAAGAACAGTGTGCTTAATGACTTATATGTTTTTCTAAGTTCTAATAACAGATATTTTACTCCCTACACAGTTGGTTTTGTAAAGCAGGTTCTGGAGAAGCTGGAGGAGTTGAAGTATGGGAAGCTGGGTACCGTGGTGGGGAGGTACTATGCCATGGACAGGGACAAGCGCTGGGAACGCATCCAGCTGGCACACGAGGGTCTGGTACAGGGGATCGGCGAGAAGGCCACCAAGGACACCGTCCTGGATGTAAGTTATAATCCTCATCACATCTTAACCTTCTTACTACTAAGTTGCCTTTTTGCTACAAAGTTTGTATTGGATGGAGAGGGTTGACGTCACCTTTTGGTGGGAGGCAAGGCAACTAGTGGTAGTATGTGTGCAGACAAGTTTGATAATAGAAAGTTGGTGTCACCCTTCTTTAAAGCTTAGTTCAAAGGAAAAATCAGAAAAATTCCAGCACATATGTATCCCTTGTTTTATATTATAGGTGGTGAAGGCTCGTTACGAGGCTGGGGAGACAGACGAGTTCTTGAAGCCAATAGTTCTAGATGACGATGCTCGTGTCCAAGGTGTGTGTGAATTTGTAATAAACTGTTTACAAACTGTACCTGCTTATTTCCGCTTACAGTAAGAACATTGCTATAGAGCATTTTCGATGTTGGAGTGTGACATCACCTGAAAAAGCTCTATGAAATAAATGTGTTTCTTTGCTTCACCACAGATAACGACACCCTGGTGTTTATTGACTTCCGTGCTGACCGCATGAGGCAGATCGTGGAGACATTCGGCATCAAGCCACCCTTTGACGTGTCTGTCATCCCCAAGGACATAGTAAGACTTTTTTTCAAGATTAGCAACTAACAATATTACAAGTAACAGAAATAAAATCATATCAAATATTCTGCAACATTTCATACAATATGGAAGGAGAAATACAACTTTATACCTCTTATTTTCTCTATGAAACAGGGAGTCTACAGTTTAACCAAGTACAAGGAGGACTTTCCCTTCCCTGCGTTGTTCCCTCCTCAACGTATGGACAACGTGTTAGCCGAGTGGCTGGCCAAGAAGAACACCCCACAGTACCACTGCGCAGGTTGGTGGCCGGTCAAGTGGACGTTTTTGTTACTTATTAGTAAAATGAAAATCATTCACTTGATTCATTGAGAAATCATTGAGCTCTCACTGAAAAACAGTTGAGAGATCTGTCAAATTCCTGGGCACTCAACTGGTCACATATGTGGAATCCCCACTTAAGTACTGAATTTTATGATTGCTTGTAATAATATGCCAATTATGAAATCTGTATGAAGATGGTACAACAACACTGTTGAAAATTGACAGTTTTCTAGAAAGCCATGCATTTGCCTAAGATTAGCATTGATATATCAAGTATCAGTAGTACTACTGTGATATTTCACATCAATTTAACTTTCCCCTGCAGAGACAGAGAAGTATGCCCATGTGACCTTCTTCTTCAACGGAGGACAGGAGGTACAGTTTGACAAGGAGGAGCGATGCCTCGTGCCCTCCCCCAAGGTCGCGACCTATGACCTTCAGCCTGAGATGAGTTGCGCTGGGGTAGCAGATAAGGCAAGTGGTCATCTTGATTATTTTCTACCTGCATCCTTTTATCATTAAAAATCAGTCCAATGTAGAAGCTCAGGATTCTTTATAACTATGAAAATCAGTCCAATTATTAAACAGGAGCTCAGGATTCTCTGTCATGATTGCCATGAAACCAGTCAGCCTCCAGCACCATGGTTGACAGAAACAGCAGTAGGGAATATTGCTTGTTGGTGATAGAATTATTCAAAACCTACCCTGTTGTCTTTTACAGATGGTAGAAACCATTGCAGGTGGAAAGTACCCATTCGTGATGTGTAACTTTGCCCCTCCTGACATGGTAGGACACACGGGGAAGTATGAGCCGGCTGTTAAAGCCTGCACAGCCACAGGTAAGATGGGCTGAAAATACCAAGTTTGTTTCTTAAAGCTTGATTCAGTCTTCATAAGGTCACACAAATCTCTTGGTTCCCGGAATCGGCTGCTTCATTTTTTTCTGGCATGTACATGTACCATTCACGTTCTGAATCAGCCCCCCAAATATATTGGCACCAAAAAAAGTCCCCGTCTTACAGTTTTTCCTTTTTCATTCTGAGATTTTTTATTAAGTTCAACATTCATAGATTAATTCTGAGCCTAGTACTTTAAGACTTTGGTGGCATTTTAGGGGTATTACAGGATACCTATCGCTTTTTTTCCTTTTGGCTATGAACCTATTATTCATTGTTCTTTGTTATTTATATTGTCACTACAGATGTAGCCATTGGACGCATTGACAAAGCATGTCAGGAGCACGGTTACGTCCTGCTGGTCACTGCAGACCATGGAAACGCTGAACAGATGTACGACGAGAACGGAAAGCCGTTCACCGCACACACCTGCAATAGAGGTCAGTAGGAATGGTTTTAGAGCTGCAAAACTGAAGAGTTTAATGGTATAATTCCAAGTTCATGTCCACTAGAGTGGGGACATTGTAAATCAAAATAGGGGTGGAATACATTCATAGATGTGCATTTTGTACAGCATTTCTTACATTATGTCAATTTATTATTTTTTTGGTCATGTGGACCCTACTAGTGCTACTAGTATTTATCAGTAGTATCAGTAGGGTAAAAGTAAAATATTTTAATAAATGCTGCAATTAAAGTTGCACACATCAGAATTGTGGATACTGTAGATCTTGCCTGGTAGTATTTAAAGTCCTTTTCTTTTCAAAACTGTACCTACATTTAGTGTTGTTTATCCTGTTCTAGTGCCATTTGCCATGTCTGGTGGTACAGCAGAATTTAAGAAGCCTGAGCACAATGCAGCCATATGTGATGTGGCACCAACTGTACTGGACCTGATGGGACTGGACATCCCAGCTGAGATGACCGGTCAATCACTACTCAAGAAGTAACTCATCCAGGGAAATATGTTAACATAATCGTAAGGCAACACCAATACAGTTCCTTGGTTCTCACACATTTTAAGGTGAAAATATAGCAAGCTGACGTCAGAAAAGCAGAGGGCAGAGATGAAAACAAAACCCTCAAGCTGTTTTTCCAGTTCAGCATATTTTTCAGCAGTCCGAGAACCAGAATTAAATTGGTGTGGCCTAAATTAAGTTTCCCAAGTATTTTAGATAAAAAGAGGATTTATATCTATTGAAAGCTATAGAATCTTGAATAAATGATTGTTAAACTATACGAACAGGCATGGTGCTTCACCCCAGTACATGTATGTAACATTGAGACAGCTAAGCTCTTTGTAAGTAGCAACCACTGTAAGAGAGGAACTGTAAAATGTGTGCTGGCACTTCAGTGACTAGAATTGAAGATCAAAATGTTGTTCACATTTGTATAAAATACAACTGGAATGGTATACTGAACAACTCACTACAGTTTGTTTTTGTATATGTTTGTGCAAAATGTGACTTTGAAACGTAAAGATCTTTGTGATGTTTTGACATCTAAGAGCAGAAGTTGTACGAAGAAGGTATGCTTTTATTGCAGTTTGTAACCATTGCTGTGTACCTGTTACTATTGGAGTGTTAGTTTTGCAGAGCCAAAAAAATAGAAGTTGGTAGAAAAATGGTCTTGTATTCCTTTCAAACCAGACAAGTATGTATGACTATATCAGGAAGACTGTGTGTGCGTGCATATGTGTGAAACAGTGCCTGCCATACATCCTGAGTACTGATATTTTTGTATGACTGGAAGGGTCAGAAAAGCAGATGGATAATAAGTGACGCTATCATCTTTGATTAACTGACAGAAGACTCCTAAAAGTGGTAAAATATTTTGCAAATAGTTTTTCCACGGACTTTCAACATAAATACATCATGGAATTCTTGAGTTATAGTTTCTATAACATTACACACACACAACCAAAATTAATAGCTCACGACACAATATGAAGGGTTTCAAAGGATTGATTTACTACCAAAAAGGCTTGATGATACAAATACCCAAAATCAACACAAACATGTACATGTATCTTCTACATAACTGTACAGACAGGATTAAGATGGGAACATGGAGAGCATATTACCTGGAATGGTAACTTTCTGACAGACATGTAAAAACTAAGCATACACTAGAGCAATGTTACATTTGCAAATATCAGTACAGCGCTCATTTCAGCAGGAAACATCAAGTCCTTTATGTATTGTGTAAAGTTTTAGTTTTTCTAACTTATTTACCTTCAACTTGGCTGACGCTATTTTTGACTCACAACTACCAAGATGCAATAAGAGATTTAGTTCTGGAGTAATACTCTTGTTAGAAGTAAAAACACCTCTCCCTTATGAAGCTCTGGATAAATTGTATATTTCCAATGGATTGCCAACTGTTTGGGCCTCCCAAAACACAAATTTGTCTAAAGATCATTCTTCTTCTGGACCTGTGACTGATTTTACACATAGATAGATGCAAGCTACATTGTACTTCAAGGGACACGACAGGTGACTTACTTTGTGGCTTTGACTTGTGGACTACATTATACCGTTATTTCAAGTTAGTCACACATGTACAGCTCACATATACCACTACTACAACACATTGTAGTAAACAAAATACCCTCCCCCCATAGACATATACATTGTGGGATAGTATTTTTCTGAAGGGTAATATAGTACTGCCTGCATACGTCTCTCCATATAGTATAGACATGATCAGTTCCAATAAATGTATAACCTTAACAATCTAGAATTTAGTGACGATCCCTAGTTCTTGTCCTCCTTCTTATCGCTGTCTGTTGTTTCCTGCTGTTGTTGCTGCTGGTCCTGTTGCTGTCCACCTTCTTTCTCAGCTGCCATCTATGTAGACAATTATATATTACAGGTCAGCATAGAACACAAAACTACATAAAATATACTTCTAACGATAAGCATTTTGCTATTGTGAGCAAGATGAACTCAAACTTGGACCAATGAAACCATCACAATTTTGCCATGCACTACCACGGACCCCTGTCACAGATCTGGGGGTGCAAGTTCATAGGTAAGGTTTTCTAACTACAAGTTTCTCTTTGATAAGAATGTAAGCACTAGTATTGATGATCTCGAGTAGAAGGCCTTACATAAGCAATTGTGCTTTTTGCCTGATACTGGTTAAATATATGTGAATAAATAAACCACTAGTACTATTGCCCCACCTTTTTGTAGGCCATTTCGAAGAGTTTGAGTGAGGCCTGCTGCATCTGTGAGGACGCCTGTCTGATGTCATCTGCTGCCACCTCGTCTTTCCTGGCCAGCAGGTCACGAACCCTGGAGATCTCCTCCTTCAACTTGTCACACTGTGGGAGTGACAAAGGTTGGTTATTTCTTGTACATGTATCATTGATTTCTTTTGACAAATGAATTCCTTCAACTCAGAAATCATTACAAAACAGTTTTACTGCTAGACGTTCTAGGAGACTATGTGGCAAAATATGAATGTAAGAGCTCCATGTAAAAGTGATAGTTCATAGTGAACTGACCTCATCCTGTGGCAGCTGGTCCTTGAACTCCTCCATCTTGGATTCTGTGTCGTGGATGATGTTCTCAGCTTGGTTCACAGCCTCCACTTCTTCCTAGAGTGCGATGGGGGAGTAAGACAACGATTAGGTTTAGGAAGCATGTATATACAACAGATTCAGAAATTTCCTTGCCCACCAATACAGGGTTATTATAGCACATGGGTAACTGTGTGAAGGTGTCTTGCTCAGATAAATCCTTAAGTCCACACGGTGTTTGCATCGGGTGACGAAAAATAGCCATCATTGCAGGACACTCCACACAGAGGCTAACAACATCACTCAAGTAACTCATATTTTCTTTAAATAAGATAGAATCAGTTATTACAAAATGTAAAAGATGATTTTTGGCTGGTGTAATTCTGAAACTCACATTAACCTTTTCCCTGCTGCCTATCCCATTAACAAATCGCTCACCTTAACAGCTACATCAGTATCATATGAAAGGTTGAATGACAGACAGTAACATCTTAAACCATCTAAACAAGCTGGAGATCAAATCTATGGACACAACACTGACCTTCTTCTTCTTGTCCTCTTCAGCAAACTTCTCTGCCTGTTTGACCATGTTCTCAATGTCATCCTTACTCAAACCTCCACTGGACTGGATCACGACTGGTACAGGATACAAACAAATTGATTAGATTTCTTTGTCATTAGTAAGCTGGTTACAACACGAATACTTTGAAACATTGACCAGCCATGTTGACTCTGTGACTCCTGTGGTATCAGTTGGTTCTGTCAGAGGACGCGTTTCTTTTCCTTTTTTCGTCATCTTTTCATTTTTTTTTGCCTGCCCACTCCACTATTTTGTTGGAAAAATGTGGCTACAAAGGCACTGAATTGCTATGGTTGCATGACCTTTCTTGACAGGAAGATAAGATACAGGTGAAGCTAAAATGTATCTTGTATTTTCAAGACATAAAACTGGATGAAATCTGTGAATAACTTACTCTGCTGCTCCTTGCCAGTTCCCTTGTCTCGTGCAGACACATTCACGATACCGTTGGCGTCAATGTCAAAGGTCACCTCGATCTGTGGGACCCCCCGTGGTGCGGGCGGGATCCCGACCAGCTGGAACTGACCCAACAGCTTGTTGTTGGCGGCCATCTCTCGCTCTCCCTGGTACACCTTGATCTCCACCTGTGTCTGTCCATCTGCAGCTGTGGAGAAAACCTGCAGGGAAAAGTTACATTATTCATAGTTATTCATATTTGTGAAAGGACTGAAGTAACAGGTGACTATCACCCTTTCAAGATATCAAACCAGAGACCAGATTGTGCAGTTTGAACCACTCATACTGGGATGAACCCCTTGGTTCTTGGATACTTAATGGTGCAAATATAGAAAGCAGATGTCATAATAGCAGAGGCCAGGGAGAGAAACTTAATTCACTCTATAAAACCAAGTGCACTAAGGCCTTAACTTGGCCAGTTTGTTGCAGTGTAAAACCAGGATGGTGTACACAACTGGTAACCATCCAACGATGCACATCACTGCATTTCTCTAGCATTGCATCGACCAACAGTACCACAGGAGGTAAGCTGGAGATACCGCAAATGCACCATCTGCATAATTTTCTTTCCAAAAGTTATACTGTACTTTGTATTTATGCATTTATCTGTCAGTGGTAGCCGCTACCAGCCTTGTTGCTGCCTGGTTGCCACTTGTCATGCACTGTTGCATTTAAATAAACAAACAAACAAACAAACAAACCATGGAGTTCAACCACAAATGCTGTTACACTACAAAAATTACTATCTTGGAGAAGGGACAGACTATAGACTTGGTCCTACCTGTCCCTTTTTGGTAGGGATGGTGGTGTTCCTGTTGATGAGTTTGGTGAAGACTCCTCCCAGTGTCTCGATGCCGAGGGACAGAGGTGTGACGTCCAGGAGCAGAACGTCTGTCACGTCTCCGGCCAACACTCCGCCCTGGATCGCCGCACCGATGGCCACGGCTTCATCTGGGTTCACAGCCTTACTGGGCGTCCTGCCAAACACCTCCTGCACTGTGGACTGGACCTGGGCAGGGGAAAAGGGTTTCCTTCTTTTAATATTTAAAAAATATCAAATCTTTCATTTAATCTTTAGTAGACTATTCTAATATTGCAATATAATATTTTATCTGTATGAACTACAATGTTTGGACAAGGAGTCAGTGTGAATGTTACCAAAATGATTCAAACAAATCATCAAAACAAGAGAAAAAGTCAGGACATGTCATGCTCAGATAAATCCTTAAGTCCACACGATGTTGGCAAGTACATCAGGTGACGAAAAATAGCCATCATTGCATGACATACCTCTAAGCTAACCATAGGTCAGAGTTCAAGGTTCAATCACCAACCTTTGGCATCCGGGTCATGCCTCCCACCAGGAGGACGTCCCCAATGTCGGACTTATTAACCTCTGCATCCTGGATGGCCTTGACGCACGGCTGTACCGTGCGCTTGATGATGTCACCGACCAGGTTCTCAAACTGGGCACGGGTCAACTTCATGTTCATGTGCTTGGGACCGGACTGGTCCATTGTCAAGTAGGGGAGGTTGATGTCCGTCTGTCGAAAAATGATTTCTTGACTGTTACTGGCCATACATACATGTGTACAATCCCTAGCAGAGCAGCTAGCAAGCTACATATGGATGAGAAAAAACTCACAACAGAGAATATAAATAAATCTTCCAACTTACAATGCATAGTACATAGCTCTTCAGTACAATTGTTACTTGCTTACTTTGATAATGGTCCAATGTACAGTTTGTTGCAGTGTAAAACCAGGATAGTGTACACAACAGGTAACCATCCAACGATGCACGTCACTGCATTTCTCTAGCATTGCATCGACCAACAGTACCACAGGAGGTAAGCTGGAGATACCGCAAATGCATCATTGGATTTTTGTTTCCAAAGGGCTAAGGAAATGAAGATGAGTTTTAACCCACCTGTAGGGAAGATGACAGCTCAATCTTGGCCTTCTCAGCTGCCTCTCTCAGCCTCTGCAGGGCCATGTTGTCTTTGGTCAGGTCAATGCCTTGCTGCATGGAAGAATGACAGACAAAAACATGTCACAAGTTGTGCCAAATGTGGCAAGATACTACATAGCATGGCAGAATTCACCCTGTCAGATAAGTGTCCTATAACAGAACATACAGAAGCTGCACTGCAGACACACACACAGACAAACCAACAAAATTATCACAAATTGAATGTTAACGATCCTTTGCAAATGGATGTCCAGATCAGAAATTTGCAAACAATCAAAAATTGCCATTTTGGACGAATCACTGTACTGCCCTAAAACCTTGTCTAGTATTATTACCTCTCTCTTGAACTCCTTGACCAGGTAGTTGAGCAGTGTGTTGTCAAAGTCCTCTCCTCCCAGCAGGGTGTCTCCGTTAGTAGACTTCACCTCAAACACGCCCTTCTGCACCTCCAGGATGGAGATATCGAAGGTTCCACCTCCCAGGTCATACACGGCAATGCTGGGTACAGGGGGAGTGGTGTCAATGAATTTGTATGGGTTTTAGAATCACCTTTATTCTGTTGTACATAATACAATGGAAGATCATGTTTGCAGCGTTATGATTCCATAAAAAGACAAGAAAAGGAGAGAAAAAGTGAGAACTGTCATGCTCAGATAAATCCTTTAGTCCACACGATGTTGGCAAGTACATCAGGTGACGAAAAATAGCCATCATTGCATGACACATCTCTAGTTCTACTGCTACTACAGGTCAAAGTTTAACCTAAATTAAATCATTACCTCTTTAAATTTTCTGATTTGGTACAAATTGCCTTTTTCAAGGCTACTGGGGCCTACTAGGAATTCAAACCCTTTAACCTTTAGCTTCTACTTAATCAACAACTCTAACCACAAGGCCACCTTGCCACATTCTGATATGCTATATTCATTGCTTACATTTTGTCCTCTGTCTTGTCCATGCCATAAGCCAGAGCAGCTGCAGTTGGTTCGTTGATAACTCTCAGGACATTCAAGCCTGCGATCTGTCCAGCATCCTTGGTTGCCTACAGTACAGGAAACACATGTCACTTTCGCATAGAATCCTGAATTGAGTGTATATGTTATATATTAAAAGAAAATGGGTTTATTTATATGTTTAAACACTGACAATTGAACATGTGCCAGCAAATTACATGAGGTAGCCAAATAGCCAGCAGTTGTAGTGGCTGCTCACACTCAGTCACAGTGACACACACAAAAAACAATTAACCTTTGTTAATGAGTTGCCCCTACCTGTCTCTGTGAATCATTGAAGTAGGCTGGCACAGTAATTACAGCATTCTTCACTGAGGTACCCAAGTAGCTCTCTGAAAAAAAAAAAAAACAAAGCCATGAGTTAGTTACATTGATAATTTCAACTGTTAACAGATATCATTTATCATTTGATAATAACCAAAAGTCAATAACACTGGACATAAGACAAAACCAAAGTTTTCCTTACCAGCAGTTTCTTTCATCTTCATGAGTGTGAAAGCTCCAATCTGACTGGGTGAGTACATCTTGCCATGTGCCTGGACCCAGGCATCCCCATTTGATGCCTTCACGATCTCAAACGACACTGTCTTCCTATGGAACAAACATATTGGTTTATTTTAGACAACATTTGCTTAAATCTGGGCTCAAATACTTTCCTGTTACTAGCAACATAGTTCAAGTTGTCAGAACTTCTGGGATTTGGAAAAACCTTTGGTAAACATGTGTAAGTAAGTTCTTTACGGATGGAAATTCTAAACAAAGAAACCAAAAGTGAAAACTCACTGGTCCTTCTGTGTCTCCTTGTCCTCATACTTGCGTCCGATCAGTCGCTTGGTTGCGTAAAATGTTGCTTTTGGGTTGGTGACTGCCTGACGCTTGGCGGGCATGCCCACAAGTCTTTCTCCCTCAGGTGTGAAAGCGACGACAGATGGAGTTGTCCGGGAGCCCTCTGCGTTTTCCAGGACCTTGGCAGCCTTTCCCTCCATCACAGCAACACAGGAGTTTGTCGTGCCCAAGTCGATGCCAATCACTGCCCCTTTTACACCGTCTGAGCTGTAAGAACAAGTCAAGAAATTAACATGCATTAAGATGTACGAAGAAAGAGATAAGAAATTAACATGCATTAAGTTGTACAAAGTAAGAGACCAAATATTTTAGACTTCAGCATTCAGGCTTTCATAACCTTCAAAGTTTACCCCACTTCCTGTGTCTGACTGTTTGATCTGTCATTCCAGGCTCATCATTCTGCCTGTCCCATCAACCTATTACATTTGTGTATTCTGTAGATTTACAACCCACAATTCAGCCTCCCAAAACAACAGGGTACAAGTAAACAGTCAGTTCAGCATAATCTTAGACTTACGCATGTCTCTTGGACTGTGTTGTGATGGAGTCTGACAGCACTCTGGTCCATGGTACCTGGAAATACAACAGCCAATCAGAACAGCTGACATCAATCAACTGACCAATCAGATTCCTTATTGCCGACCACACCCATGCCCAAACCAGTCTCTCATCTCTCAAGAGACCTTTCTTTTTTGTCCATCATGAAATGCTCCAAAACTGACATAAAAGACATCCTTATTAGGGACCGGTCAGCTGTGCATTTATATAATACATCAGATATCCCTAAATTAGGTTTATCCCGTGAGGGCAAGATGTAACTTTTCTTACTTTTTGGATTGAGAAAAAAAAATGTTCATGTAGTTAATAGTATTACTAATCAACAAGAGTTATGCAAGTTCCAGGATCAGCAGGACTTGGGAACATACATGTGGTAGGGGCATATAAAACATACATGTGACAAGACAGTGATTGTTACAATACTAGGACTAATTCAAATACTGGTGATTGTAACAATATCTATTACTGCTGGCTCAAACTTGAATTTGATAGTCCTATAACCTTCTTTCATGAATATAACTATAAGTGGTGAAGAAATTTCTAGAATTCGTCCTCTTCAGTTTGAAAGGAGCACACGTGAAGTAGGGTGAGTCATGTGGGTGATTTGCAAATTTTAGATCCACGAACTAGCCAGAAGCGGTTTGCTGCCCTTTATTATGCAACGCTTGGGTCTCCTTACATCAGACTGTAACAAATGCAGTTTTAGGGGATTTCTCCCACAATTGAACCACAACAAAAATCTTCTACAAGAATAGTGTTCTGAGATATATGTGGAACAGAGGAAAACCCGGTATTACGTCGGTGCACCAGGGTGTGATCGCTAGGGGCCTTTTTCAAGGACAAACTGACACACATGGCCAAGGTGACGCTTTGGCGCATTTCGGCGATGAACTCCATTTAACATGATTTCTTTACACGCTTATAAAATAATGGCATTTGTTCTAAGGTCTGACACACAACCCCTTGGTATTTAGGATCTAAATCCTAGATTTAAGTCACTGCCCCCATCCAAATCTGAGTCGGGATGCATGTGCTCACAACACGCAAAGAAAGGATACAGGGTAAGCCTCAACATAAGCTTTTCTCATGATAATCATACAACTACAAGGAAATACAGTAACAGTCAATCGAAGTAGGAATACTTGGTACGTAATGAAGATACAGAAAATATCACACAAACGCTGCTGCACGAGCACGTGTTTTTGTGACAAAAAATTAAGCCGGTCTGATTTTTGACCTGTGTCTGCGTAGAGGCGTGCACCCATGTGCTACTCACCCTTTTCGTGGCGTGCGAAAACCCTCTGTTCTGCAGTAAAAGTGTCCAGTTCTTAGACTGGTGCGTTAGCTGAGTCGCTGTAAATCTTGCTGCAGACAACATGTTGGTTCACTGGTCTGCTTTTCTCCGGAGAAAATGTGGAAAAGTCTAGAAACTCTTCGCACTGCGCACAAAATGTCTTCCACGTGAGTGATGTAACGGCGGATTGCGCATGCGTACTTTCCTTTTAAGGCATTAAGGTTAAAGGTTAGAATAATCGCATCATAACAAGCAGTTTCGCAATTTTTGCATGAATCTTCGGAAATTCCTCACTCTAAAGCAAGAAAATAAATAACAGGTGCTATAGTAACTATAATTTATAGTAATTGTCCTCTTAAATTTCACCACTAAACTAAATGTTTTCTAATTGATTCCATGCTCATCGCTTGGATGTTATCATCATTACGTCATTACTGCTCAGCTGTGTTTGTGAGTTCGTGTGTTGGTCAGTGGATGTGTTCAATGGTATGTATTTTGCTTTGGAAGATTTTCTCCTCGTCTATTCCCATTAAAAGGTCCCCGGTAGTATCTGTATTAGTTGTTTGCCCTTGTAAACACAAGGTATCAAGTCAATTTTTATCAAATAAATAACAGTACTTGAGTTCTGCATTATGGATTTTGATATAATGTGAATTTTACCCACCCCACCAGATGCCAGTAAAAAGTCAAATCACCCAAGGATATTATATCTGTATAATGTCCTTGAATCACAATATCATTCCAGGTACATGTAGGTCAACAAAAGCCATGGCATCTGTAGTCTTCCGCCCCTACCCCATCTACCAATGGAAGGCATCCTACTACCAAGACTCCTTGCGGAAGTGGGTCTACAATGGAACATTAACTGTCACTGCTGAGGCAATCGTTTTCCATGACGACCCATCCAACACTGTCATCACCATCCATTTTGAGGACATCACAGCAGTAAAGCGGCGTACCTCGATGCTCGTGTTCAGTGCTGTTACCATAGCAACGCCAGATGAAATACACTGGTTCTCCTCCCTGGCAAACCCAATGTCTGTCTACAAAACCCTCGAACACTTCTGGAGGGAAAGGCTCATACCGATAAAAAGGTCGCACAGTAAGGAAATTGCACAAAGCAGTGAAGTGACGTCCAAACTCGGGCAAGAGATGCTCAGTCTCATGTACGACTCGTACGACACTCTCGGGGCAGCGGCAGACGAGCTTCTCCACCAAGGCGAGCAGCTGGACGATGTCTACAGAACCGTGAGCGACATCAATCAGGACCTAGACGTGGCGGAAACGGTCATCAGCGGGCTGGAGTCCTGGATGGGACGGTGGAAAGCACCCGGCAAAAAGTCTCGGAAGTTTGCCCAAGACAAGGAGTTAGACTGGAAGGCTACTTTTGTTGAGTACAGCATTCTGTATGCAAAGAAAGAGAAAGATCACTACTTGCCAGGATCACTAACTGTGTCTAAAGAAAGTCTGGACATTAAAGACTCAAAGATGAAGCTACTCCAGTCTTATAGCTTAAGAGAAGTTTCTTCCATAGTGGCTTCGTCACCCTGGCGGGCAACCATTAGGAAGAACATGATTGGCCAACCCGATGTTGTGTATCATATCTCGTCTGCTAAAATGCCCCTCATCCTACAAGCATTGGACCATGTGATTGGTCCAAAGATTGAGTATGAAGAGCCAGAGGAGCTGGTCACATGGGAGGGGTCACGTAAAACTGCCGCACGCACACCTACAGCAACAGGTAAACAGTAACTTCCATTGATTGCTACTGAATTTCTTCGTATGATCAGCAAAGAAGAGAGGTTGAAATGTGCCATGTATCCTTCTTTTACCTTTAAGTGGCATGTGCCTTTTGATTACAGAGTTATGAGTGTCACTGTGTTTGCAACTACGAAGCCAAGATAGCATTTTGTGGCTAGTATATGTTCCATATTCATGATAGTTTGTTTCAGACATTAGCAAAATAGAAATTGTTTCCAGAATAAAACAATTGATTAATGATGTCAATTTTTACATAATAAGCTGAGATCTTACTTGTTTTTATTTGTTCCTCCTTCCTTCCTTTCTTTCAGTCCCAAGCACAGATGACCTTCCCCTGTCCAGCATTCTGGAGAAAGAACAGCTGACCATGTCTGGACCAATCACGCAGAGCCAGGGACAGAGAACTGCCCAATCAGAGGAGAGCGTGGTTTCTGAGGCTGAAGCCAAAGAGATCACCAATGTCCTGTCTAGTCTGAAACTTCTGGCAATGGAAACACAAAGTCAAATCGACCTGCAGAAGGAAAAGATAGAGTCTCTTGGTGATGAAGTGGACAGAACCACTGGTAGGGTAAACAAAGATACAAAAAGAATGAAGAAATTAATGTAATCCTCCATATAAATCTATAATGCAGATATGTTTTTCAGCATTACTATAAACACACAGCTGTATACACAGTGTTCCCCAACCAGATGTAAGATAGGCCAGTCTTAGTTTTGTTTTTGCAACATTTAATATGTCTTTCTATTAGTGCCCCTATTTAATTACTCTTCATCTGCTAAAGAGTTTAAAAGGTGCACTTCTAGAAAGATGTAGCAAAAATATTAAACACTGACAGAGACTGACCTCTATTCTTACATCTGCCCCAGCAATACTTCAGTAAAACTACAAAGTAAGCTGCATTGCAAGTAGTGATTTATGTATACTGTAACATAGATGTAGATGGTTTGCATAAGGGAACATAACTTAAAGGTTGCCATAGTTGTCATAGTTCTGTAAATATGTTGAAGATTTATATATAAATACTACATAAGTCTGTATTATATATGACAAAAAATGTATTGTTGTGAAATGTAACACCAACAGCAAGTGTGTCTGAAATAAACACTGAAAAGACTGAAAAGCTTGCCTAAGGTCTGCCAGGTACTTAAATGGTTGGGGACATTTATATCACCTGTTATGGCTCCCCCTCCATTGTGTTCAATGGTAAATTCAAATATGAAATGAGCTATGATTATATAATCAAATAAAGATATATATAGTGCCATGAAATCAGTATTAATCCTCAGGTCCTTAGCATGATTATGATAACATTATGATGAAATATGGCCAAAGATAAGAAAGGAAAAGTTTGCCCATACATGTACTGGTAGGGAATAAATAATCTTAATAAAGTGGCTTTGATCAGTTGTTATTGACATACATATTAATGCAATAGATTCAGTATTAAGTCGACCAAGGCAAAAAAATGGGTAGCAGTTAGCTAAAGCTAAGTCTTACATTTATTTATATTGCAATATTCTGATTGCAATATACTTGCGTGGTGATTTCTAAAACTCTGCCGTATTTCTGCTCATGAGGTGTAGCCAAAATGTTGACCTTGTAAACTGACGTCGCCACCTTGTCAATAACCTGACTTTGGAGGCTTTCTGAACACTGCCCACACAGCCATATTACTGCATCTCAGGGCCCCTTACACGAGGCGTCGCCAAAAAGGTTGACCTTGTAGACTGACGTCGCCACCTTGTCAATAACCTGACTTTGGAGTACCGTGGCCGACAAGTACAAAATTTTACACCGCAACTTTTGGTGTTTTACACCGCAACTTTTGGTGTTTTACACTGCAACTTTGGGTGTTTTACACTGCAACTTTGGGTGTTTTACACTGCAACTTTGGGTGTTTTACACTACAACTTTTGCTGTGTTTTACACTGCAACTTTTGCTGTGTTTTACACTGCAACTTTTGGTGTTTTACACTGCAACTTTTGCTGTGTTTTACACTGCAACGTTTGCTGTGTTTTACACTGCAACTTTTGCTGTGTGGAAAACTTACACCCCTCCCCTTTTATGATGGACGGTCCCCCTGTCAGGTCAAAGGTGACAACGATGGCATGCAAACTACGTCGACTGAGTTATCCTTTTCGTGCATAAGTTTTTTAGAGGAAAAGCTTGGCTACGTTGTGACGTTAGTTTTTTTCTAAAGGCCTTTGAGTCACGTGACATTTTCTAGCTAGAGAATTCGGACTCGCAAGGTCGCTAATAATTTGATGAGTAAATATTGGGCCTATGGGAGTCAAATGTGGCACCACTTGGTACTATGAAGCAATAAAGACTTATTTTCAATTCAGAAGTGTTGACTCTTGACTCAGGTAAGTTATCGATCATTAGGGAACAATACGAGCGATCGCCATGACGTCACCGTAGGCAAAAAGTGGGTGCCAGTTGGCTGATTTGCCTACCAAGAATTTGCATATGTCTTCAAATAATTTGCATGCGTATAATGTAAACAAAAACAGCGATCGCTCGTATACAAATGTAGAATAATATTGTATACAATATTTATAGTTAATAAGACATCTAATCAATGTTAATTAGTCAATCACTAATTTATAAACTGTCATCATGGAGGCAATACAGTGTTGTGTAAGTATAGTAAAGTTAGAACACAAAGAAGAACAGACAGAATTATAAATCATTAATTTATTCACAGCTTGATCCCATTCTGTTGATGTCTCACACTCAGTCACAGCACGACACTTAACAACTGTTAGGCCGCCGCCATCTTTGTCACCTTTGACCTGACAGGGGGACCGTCCATTATAAAAGGGGAAGGGTGTAAGTTTTCCACACAGCAAAAGTTGCAGTATAAAACACAGCAAAAGTTGCAGTGTAAAACACCAAAAGTCGCAGTGTAAAACACCAAAAGTTGCAGTGTAAAACACCAAAAGTTGCGGTGTAAAACACCAAAAGTTGCGGTGTAAAATTTTGTTCTTGTCGGCCACGGTACAGAAGATATATGAGCAATGGGAAACGTGCATTTTCTGACCAACGGAGAGGCTCCAAAGTGCATTTTTCTGACCAATGAGCATGCCAGGATTCTTCTCAATCGACCAATCGCAGGCTAGAATTTTTCGCACAGGTGGTTGGAAGTTATAAAGCCGGCGCGCGAGGATGGTTGCGTCATTAGTCGATTTTCAACTGCTGCTATAGCGCGAAGAGAAGACGGTCGCTCTTCATCGACACGGCGGTCTGCAAGCCGAAATGTGGGGGAAATGGCGGTGTCGGAACCCTTGTACTCAGGTTTTAACTTCGTGGCATCGTTTTACTGATTTTAACGATTGGATTGTCGTATCGTTTTACTGATTTTAACCATTTGAATGTCTTTTGTTGTAAAAGGTCTGTCTTTTATGGTATTATTTTGATGTGTCAAGTTGGCAGGTGTGGGTTGGTGGGTGATCGTGGACAGTATCCTGTC